GCAACACGCGTACTGCTTACGTTATGCACATTCCCAACACACTGAGTCACATCCGGCAAGAAACAACCGCAAGCGAAAATTCTAAAAGCGTTTCTCTTCAGTCAACTTCATTTTAATAATGTTACTTCAGATGTTCTTTTGTTATGCGCAGTAAGAGACGTCAGAGATGCGCAGTGCAAAACCAGCGAATCAGCTTAAGGTTAGTTCTCCCCAGTAAAATTTGCTCGATATCTTTTGTATAACTCTACAGGACCATTTAGCGCTTTTCATGTCGGGTCTTCAAAATTCCAATGCGCAACGTAAATATTGGTGATACCCTTGATCATTTCAAAACCTCAGAGTAACGGCCTCTTTCTCGACTCCTTGATACTCCTGTTGGGGGAGGGGCGAGGTGCGGAAGAAGGAGAGGGCTTTCTGTCTTTCCCTTCCCCACATAAGACTGAAGGGTTGGCTCTCTGGCTGACTTAAGTTTTCACATTATTTGACCTGGCAAAGAAAACCAGCAATACTTTCGTCATGTTTATATTGTCTGCTGTGTAATGGTTTTCATATTTTTTGTTGTTGTTTCAGATATGACAGCATATTAAGAAGGTGAAATGACCTCCACAGCCGGAGTGAACTCGCAGAACACATCATGAACGGTTTTACAAAGCAATTTAATTCAATAGCAATTTCCACTTTACTATTTATGCATTTATCAACAAATACTGTTTAGGTAAGGTCACTATTGGTTTAGGTTATAGATAAACAGGAATTCAATTTCATCGTCGGTAAAAGAGCTGGTTAACCCCGGCCGAGTCATCTCTGTTACTGGAGGGAAAAAGCTCTCGTGAACGATTTTGAAAAAGAAGTTCCCAATACCGAGAAATACAGCTGCAAGTAAAATAGGTAATGTCGTCATTTCGTTGCTCTGATAACTCCGATGTCTTTGTAACCTTGATCACAACAAATTTAATACAGCTTTGTAGGTAATAATTTCAAATCTTCGTTAATGACGACGTAGTGTATTCTCAAACTTGAGAGGTATTGTTCACTCATCGTTTCTGGGCAACGTATCGTAAAGTACTCGATAAAAATCGTCTCGATTTAATGGCCTCTCGATTACGTTTCCGGCAGTCGAATCGTGAATCATGAACAGACTCTATTATGCTTTTGTTATAAAGTGTTTTAAAGGTCGGTTTTAGTGTAATCCTTCTTTAGTGCATTAATATGTTTCAATTGTTCTGGCCTCCACAATGTAAAGTTCCCCCCCCCCCCCCCCCCCCCCCCCCCTCCCCATCCACAAACACCGGCAGTCGCCCCGGCCTCCTTCCCCCATCCCGCAACCAACAGCCAACCAACACCGCCGACTCGGGAGCAAATCCTTCTCTGTCCCTTCATACCTGCACGTCTCTCTGTATACTTGCTCTCTTC